CTCATCTCAAATTCTCAATCAAAAAATGAAAAGGGCCTTGAAGTCTCTATTTTTTTGGAGTAGAGGAAAGTTGAAAGACTTGAATCAACAAAAAGAAATGTTAAAGCAAGACATTTTACAATTACAGCTAAAAGAAGCAGAGGTTGGATTTCTATCAAGTGAAGACATTTGGTGTTTAAAGACCAAAATTAATGAGTTGAGTTCAACATTACTTCACCTCAACACTTGGTGGAGACAGCGTTCAAAAGTGAAATGGATGGTTGAAGGTGTTTTTAATTCCATATTTTTTCAATCATTTGCTAGTGCTAGAAGGAACTCCAATTTTATCTATAGCATAAAAGATGAACATGGAGTCATTATGGAGGACCAACATTAGATTGAGAATGTTTTGCTAAGATTCTTCAACAGAAAATGGGGAGAAAAAACCTGCTCTCTGGACGGGTGGCCAAAACCGAGAAGAATTCTGGATGAGGAGAACAAAGACTTCTTGAACAAAAGCTTCTCAGTTAAAGAAGTGGATAAAGTGATAAAAGAATTTGTGGGATTCATTGCACTGGGGAATGATGGCATATCATACTCCTTTTTCAAAAGCTATTGGTCTATTATCCAAGAGGACGTTTGGAATGCTTTGAACCAGTTTTTCACATCAGCTGATATGTGTGAGAGTTGGAAAGAAACTATCATTGTGTTGATTCCTAAAGTAAGTAATCCTTCAACTCCATCCAATTATAGACCTATAAGTTTGTGCAAAACGATTTACAAGATAGTGGCCAAAGTTTTGTTGAATAGAATGTCTTGCATAATCCCAAAATTAATCTCTAATGAGCAAGTGGCTTTCTTAAAAGGAAGATCAATTTCATATAATATTCTTATAGCTCAAGAAATTTATCATAAATTTAGAACTTCTAAATCTTCTAATGGGTTAGTTTCATTCAAAATTGACTAAGAGGAAGCATATGACTCCATGGGTTAGCCGGATCTAAACAAATCTTTGGAGTGCTTGGGATTTCCTGTTTTTTTCTCTAAACTAATCATGGATTGTGTTACAAATCCCTAATTTTCACTGATGATTAACGGGAATCAAACTGATTGGTTAAAGGCTAAGTGTGGATTTCGGCAGGGATGCCCATTGTCACCGTTCCTATTTATTATTTGCTCTCAATTATTGTCTAATGCTCTCTTGGAAGATGACTCAATTGGCGTAAAGGTTAGTACAAATGGCCCAAAGATCTCCCATTTGCTTTATGCGGATGACATAGTAATTTTCTCGGATGCAAAGGTTAAAAGTGTCAAGAAGATCAAAGGCATTTTGAAGGAATTTTGCAGAAGGACTGGTCAGAAAATTAATGAAAGCAAATCAATTATTTTATTTGGTAAAATGGTTAGAAGAAGGAAAAGGAAGGCTATTTCACATATCATGGGATTCAAATCAGTCAAAGAATTTTTCTATCTTGGAGTTAAGGTGGCTTTGAGAAAACTAAAGAAGATGGATTTCCAGTTTGTTATTGACAAAGTGTTAAAAATGTTAAATACTTGGGGCACCAAGTTCATCTCTTTGGAGGGGAAGATCACACTTGTCAAGTCGGTATTGCTCTCATACCCATCTTTCCATTCTAGTCATTCTTTGATTCCAATTAGTACTTTGAATGAGATTGATAAGCTATGTAGAAATTTTATTTGGAGGAAGATGAATGGAGCTCTAGGACTCATTATATTAGTTGGAATAATATGTGTAAACATTTGGAAAATGGTGGCCGTGGGTTGCATTCTTGTTCTACCAAAATGGGACCTTTAAGAGCAAAACTTGCATGGAAATATGTTCAAGATAAAGACTCTATGCTGCATAAATGTCTATATCCGAGATATCGCAAAATCTGGGATCAATCTGCTAGAAGAAAACCTTGTTCGCTGGCTCGAAAATTAATCAAGGATGGAGGTAGGTGTCTTAAAAAGATAGTAAGATGGAAGATAGAAAATGGGGAGTCAATTGATATCTTTAATGATATGTGGACCATGGACAAGAGCCTTAACATGTGGCCAACATTTGTGGGGAACAGAGATTGCAATGTGGAAACCATAAAGGATTTTATTTCGGAAGGAAGATGAAATGTTGTTGAGATGAAGAAATATTTTGGAGGTGAGCTAATGGAGAGGTTTTGTAAAGTTCAATTTTTTTCAAATTATCAAGAAGACAAGATGGAGCTCATTCAAGGAATATCGGGAAAGTCAATTTCAGCAATGGCTGGTTCGGTGGCAAAACAGAATTTTGAAGAATACAAGTATTGGAGGTGTTTGAAGAAAGCAAAGTTGAATGCAAGGGTGGAAACATTCTGGTGGAGGTTATTAAATAACTCTTTACCAACTTTAAGTTTCTTATCGTACAGAAGATTGCAACCAAACAGCTGGTGTCCAAGGGGATGCAATGAAGTAGAAGATACAAAGCATTTGACGGTGAGTTGTAAGAAACTGAATGAGGTTATTCTGCTTCTAAATCAATGGGGTTTATGATATTAATTGCTTCCTGCTTTGAAGATCGTTGGAATTGGATGAGGAGTATAAATCCTTTTATGTTAAACCTATTCTGCAACATTGTTTATTTTACCTAGAAAGGGGGGAATGAGCTAATCCATGGAAAAACTGAAAGATCTGCAGTTTTTATAGCTTCCGAATCTGTAAATTATGCAGCTATTCACAAAGCTTTCGAATGGAACACTTCAGGACGATTGGATACAATCAGCTCTTGTTGTTGGATAAAGCTTGGCATCCTCCTCCACCCGATTGGATCAAAGAGAATGTTGATGCAGCATTGTTATCTTCCTACAAAGGTGGGGTTGGTGGAGTATTCAGAGATTACAAAGGGAGGTTTCTTTTTGCTTTTGGTAAAACATGTGAACATTGGGATAGTGCTTATTTGGAGCTTCTTGCTATGAAGACTATTAAAGAGATGATAAAAGATTGGATGGGGAATATAAAGGCATCATGATTGAAGGAGACAATGCAAATGTTATCAAGTTCATTCAAAATTCATAAAAAAAAAAAAAGATGGGAATGAGATGGAAGAATTTTCTTTTATTAAAGATTTTAGTTATGTAATTTTTAATTGTATAGATAGGAGTGGTAACAAGTTAGCAGACTTATGTGCTAATTATGTCATTTTAGGTTCTTTTTGTTGGGATGATTTAGGACTCAATAAGGTTCCTCCTTCATTTATGGAAATTTTGAAGGAGGAATCGGTAGGTAACAATTTGTAGTTGGTTTTCTTGTTTTTTAGCTTTTATGCAATTATTGCTTAATCAAAAAAATAAAATAAAATAAACATGATAATCTACTTAGTATTTTTTCTTGGATACTAATTCCATGTGAGACTATGACTTCGGACCTATAAACTAGTATTTTCTTAAGTGCAACACTAGTGTTATCACACTCAACATAAATTTATTCTAATCTAATTTTAAAGAGATTGAGCAAAAGAACTGCTTACAGTCAACATATTAAGGCTTCATTTGAGACGGCTCTCCTTCTGCTTCTTAAGGCAGCTTTCTAAATTATATACTAAAAAAATTGCTTTAAGAAGCAGTAAGAAAACCATCACAAATCAAGCCTAAATCTATATAGTGGATAAAACCATAGAATTTATTTTTTTTTTATTGGACCAAGACACAAGCAATGATCCTAGAAATTAAAATTTTTCGAAGCTGCTCTTTCAATCAACTTCGCATTTATCATAATCAACATCAAAACTTGAAATTAGGTCGTAAAATATTTAATTATGTAATGCCATAAATTTAACCTAGAATACCTCAAATATCAAAATATATGTTTAACTATTGCTAAATGAGACCCTTTTAGATTAGCTTTGAAAATGAATGCAAATGCATACAATGAATATAATATTAGGTTTGAGACCTATTATGCAAGCGGTCATTACTTATGAATGAGTCATATATTGAAGTTTCAGTCCACCACAAGTTCTATATTCATTCATTTTGCATTTGACTCTTGTTATCTTGCAAATTATATTTTTTTTTCAGAATATTGAGTTCGGTTCCCTACAGTTATGATTACAAGTTTGATTCTTTTTTTCGAATATATATATATATATATACACACGTTTTTACTATTTATTAATACAGCTTTTAAGTATAGAAATTTTAGTTAATAAAAAAATTTTTAACTAAAAATTTATTTTAAAAAACAATAAAAAAACTACCCCAAGCAAAGTTCAGAATTGCAAACTTCTGAATTTTCATATTTTAGTCCTTTCAACTTCCAAAATGTAGTGATGAAGAGTTAAAACCTTTTTTTCTATTTTTTATAAAAATTGTAATTTAAAAAAAAATTAAAACTAAAAAACTACTTTAGAAAGTAATAAAAAAACTATCCAAACAACACCTAAATTTTCACATTTTAGTCCTTTCAATTTCCAAAATGTAGTGATGAGCTCAATTTATATTTTTTAAAGCAGTAGAAAAGTCGTCTCAAATAAAACCGAACTCATATACTTTCCTCAAAGCTTGCTTCCCTTAGAGCAATCAATAAGGAGCTTCCTCAAATTGAATTGAGCATTGATTAGTATGACCTAATAAACTAAATTAATAATATGCATTTATATTGTGGCTTTAGAGTAACCCATGGTTAAAGCACTATGAAACTCCTAACTATAAAGTTACATGACCATAGAGAATTTTGAGAGAAAGCATCCCATATTTGAATATTATAAAATAGAAAGCTATCCCAAACAAAACCTAAGGCTTCCTTTGGGACGGCTTTCTTACTGCTTCTTAAAATAATTTTTTAGTACAAAATTTTCTTACTGCTTCTTAAAACAACTTTTTAGTACAAAAATTAAAATTTTGTACTAAAAAGCTGCTTTAAAAAACACTAATAAAGTCGTCCCAAACAGAACCTAAATCAATTTCAAATACAAAATGACATAACATTAAATGATTGAACATTAAAACATTGACAAATTCATCAGCATCATAGGAACCAGATCAGTGATGCATACTTGTTGTTCTTCAAAAAGCATTTTATAAAACACCTTAAAATGTACAATAATATTTGCATTCCATCGTCAATCTTTTATTTATAAACCCCACAAGTAAGAAACTATGGTTCTTCAATAGAAATATTATAAAGAACAAAAAAAGATAGCAGCATTAAAAGAACCTGGAAATATTCAGCCACGCAGCTGGGCATCTTTGCTGGTAAGAGGAACGTATCGCACAGAGGTTTCAGTTCGGATACTGAGAGATCCATCAAGCTTTTTATCAATAACTTTGAGGTCTTGTAAGATGGTGCCGACTGGAATAACCATTCGGCCGCCGGGTTTTAGTTGCTCGATTAGTGCGTTAGGAATTTCTGGAGCGGCTGCTCCGACGTGTATGGCATCATATGGTGCTAGCTCTGCCCAGCCAAGCCTTCCATCTGCAGCCAGGCCGTTTGATTAGTTCAAGAATTTAGTTTGGGTGGAGAATTCAACATTTAGATTTATGTAAAGTTGTGGAGCTTAGGGCATCTCCAACCGAAAATCTCATTTTTCACTCTAAAATGCCGTGAAACTAAAAAATGTTGTGATTCATCTCCAATTGAACTCCATTTTGCCCCCTTTTGCCAAGGTAACGGCCATTCTTTTCTTTCGCGCGTTTCTTCAGCAAGTTCGGTAGAGACAAAAAAATAACATAGATGAACAATGCAACGCCAATATTGGTGTCTCACTGGTCACCCGCAACCAAATAGCGAAAGTTTTACTGTTCGGCTGGAGCTCGCGAGCGATGTCATTCAAATGTTTGGAGTTCAGCTGGAGATGACATTAGTTTGTCACCCAAAGAATAGATTACACATATTTAGGTTTCATTTGGGACGGCTTTCTTAATGCTTTATAAAGTAGTTTTCTAATACAAAAATTAATTTTTTTATGCTAGAAAGCTGCTTTAAAAAGTAGAAAGAAAGTCATCCCAAATAAAGCCTTAGTTGTAGTCAACAATAAGATTGTCATAAAGGTTGAAATGTGGACGGACACAGAAAGATATTATTTTATCATGGGCGTTTCAAATATTTTTTTTATTAAATGATAATTTGACTCTTAATAGGACATAAAGGAGAAAAAAGATTTATGTAGCCAACACATATAATGAGATAAAGACTTGATGATGTAGGGTGTTTTGAATGTTTTAAAATTAGGATTTGTGATTATCCACAATTAATGGTAAAATCTGCAAAATGACAGTAGGATGTATCCATCAATTAAGTTAATTTGTATAAAATTCGTGTGTATTTTTAAGAGTTAAAATTCTTTTATATTTCCTTTTTTTTTTCATTCTGTGTTTCGCCTATTTTCCAACAGTATAAACTTTCATAGAAACTGTCCATGTAAGCAGGGTTTGTAAGCAAGGGAGAGAGAATGTCTTTTGTTTTCCCTTTCACTCCTTTCTCGCCCCTAAACGAAAATTGCCCGTGACAAATGTTTATAACTTCTAAGCTCTAAAGATCATGTTATTTGCATTCTTAATTTTGATCTTACAGTTTCTCTTGGCTCTGATAATGAGACGGAAAACGGAACTATTTTAATATACTCTAACCTTCCAAACGAAACGGCAAATATAACTATTTTAATTTATGTCCCCCTAAACAAAATTTCTAGCTCCGCCATTATTTGTAAGAGTGGCTCTCGGTATTTTAAAAGCAGTATTTTTTCCCTGTAGTTGCTTTCTAGAATGCAAATGATGCCATTTTCTCTTGAGCTTGTATAAAACTATTACATACTTGGTGACTGGAGTTGAGTAAGCTTTGCTAGAACTGATTTTCCTCTTATTTGTGATAAACATGATGTCATTATAACTGTTGGAGTCCGGAGCAGTTTCACATTGGTATGAGATATGCATTATGCAAGAATAGTAACTACAATATTACTTCATTTCTATTTGCTTTCAATATATCCTTCACACTATGGTCCCAGATAAACTGAAATGCTACAGGTAAATAAGTAAATGTCTGTAATCAATTTGAATGGAAATATTAGGTAATTTGTAAATATAAAAGCAAGAAGACAAGCAGTCGAGACCCCAAGCAAGACCATGCTTATGCGGCGGTGATTTTGTAAAATGCGTGAATTACTTTACTACAGTTTAGGGTATTCATATGGTGTAAAAAGATTTATGATCTTATGTGCAACTGTGCAAGACCCGCAGATCATAAAAGTATGAAAGCTTTCTGCTCTCAAAAAAATTAGAAGCACTCAATTTTAACGTAGAGATCCCGGCAAATTAAAAAATCACTCCACCTGAATGAGAGATGATGATATCTACTCACATATATCTTCAAACGTAGGATCCTTGTCAGCAGTCATGGATTGCTTCGTCCAAAAGTACCTTATAGACCTAGGGTGGAAGTTTGTCTAAGGGAACAAATTTGAATCCACTTAGCTAACAGAGAGATTTGTGCCCTATCGATTATATCATACTGATTCATATCTCAAAGATTTAATGCCATAGGAGAACATGCAGACTTTGACCATAACCGTAATTTAGTGATGCAATTTGGCGACAAAACCACTTGGTTCAGAGGGTCCTAGTCGAAACCATTTACTTGTGATATCATTTGGCAACAAAAACACCGATTAGAGGACACGTGTTACGTCCTTACTGACAAGAGACAGTTTGAGAATGAATTCTAGTGATATTCTCGACCAGACTTCTGCTAGCTCATTATGAGCTGAGATAATTTTCAGATTTGTCCACCTCAACAATTTATTGTGGAGGGTGAATGGGTTTTACTTTAAGCATTTGATGATTTATTTCATTTTAAATATCTTGATTTTGGGTGATTTCTAGAATTTTGGATTTTTATAGAGGTATTTTGAATGTTTATGGTCTCCTCCGGTTAAGATTTTCTATCAACACGGCTATCATCGAGGTATTCATGAGCGATTTCATTTTATTAGTTGAACCTTGTCAACTCTATCAACTTGCTGACAGATGATCGTGTTTGTCATCGATTTTATTCCTTTATTAGTGAATTTTCTTTGTAGAGGGTCTTGAAGGCCTAATATAAACATATAAAATAAATATCTTAGTTGATACAGCGACCGTACATTTGCTTAATAGTTCAAACCATTTCAACTTCTATCTATTCTCATAGAAGGATCGGGCTCGAACATTGGTTCATTTTTTGACACGCACAACATCCTCAGACGTTGCGTGTGTGCACGCATCACGCTCGTCATGGCCCATACAGGTATATAGTTTTACATGCATTTTTGCATAACGTATTAGTGTAGTTATATGCATGTGGTGCCATAGGTATAGACGCATATTTGTGTGTCTACGTGTATGAATGCGTCAACACTTTTTTGATGCATAAGTGGGGTATTTTAAAATAAGTTGACATGTTCATATGTAGGTTCATGTTGATTGCAGAGAGATTGCACCATCTATTGCATAACTCTCATGCTTTGCTCATAAACATGTCATTATATTCTTCACGGTATCTTTGAGAGTATTAGTAGGGTAGTTGTCAGTGTTATTGTTTGCAATTGAATGTGTGTTCATCTGCAAATTAACGTTGATTGTAAGGTGAGTTGCATTCATCGTCAATTTCTTCATGCATGTTGACTGGCAAGCTGCCACGTTCATTGCATACTGGCTTCACATTCATAGGAGGCTGCTGTGTGGATCTACAAGCTATCTAACATTGATTGGAAGGATGTTGTAGCATTTATTATGTGTTAATGCGAGCTATCGGATGGGTTACATTCATCATCAATCCCTCCTTGCATATTGATTATTGTAGTTCACAGGGAACTGTTGCGTACATTTGCAAGCTGGCTGATATTGAACATAAGAAAACTACTATAGCCACAGCTCGCTCATTGTCATTATTGCTTGCTCGTATCTGTAGGATGATTGTCGTGCCTGTTTGCAGTGATATTAGCTGCATGCTGCACTGTGTGCGTTTGCAAAGGGGTTTTGTTGTTTGCAGGTGATGCATTGTATGCACTACAGTTGCTTTGTTGTTACCCACAGGTGAGCTGCGTTGAATGCAGATCTTCTAGCACGATCCATAAAAATATGTATTTGTCGTATTTCTCCTGCATCTTGCTTATAAATAACATGCAACACGCACAACGGGTCTCCTACGGCGGCTTGCAGACGTTTGCATCCATTACAGATCTGCTACCATTGTTTGTAGATGAGGCGTTGTACACTTCATGAGTTTGTGTTCTCCACTTGCTAGCAAACCATATTGATTGCAAGTTAGTTCATAAATCGTCATATAACGGATCCTCCACCATTTCCTGTGGGCACTCACACTCATTACAATCCCATTGAATTGTGGGCTCCGAAAATTCGACCTCGGCCTCCACTCTCTTTTCTTATTCGGCGAGGGAGTTTTAACGAACTTAGTTCCAAGATAAATTTTGGAAGGCAGATGGGTTTGTAGATAAGACACTACCCAGAGATTTCGCCCTCATTTTGATAGGACTTTATGATCTGAGTTCTGGTTTCCTATAGGCGCAAGCCCCTATAGTTAATTACCCCTCCCGATCACGAGAGAAATTATGGATCCAATAGGTTTAAACTGGTATGCATTTCGTTTCATTCCTTTTTTGGTATTATGTGGAGGTTAACATGAATATGCTTGTGGGAGGATCACCATACTAACAACTCATCTAGTATTATCATTTATAGGCTTTCATTATCCTTCACAAGCGACCTATTATGCAAGCGGTCATTACTTATGAATGAGCCATATATTGAAGTTTCAGTCAACTACAAGTTGTATATTCATTCGTTTTGCATTTGACTATTGTTATCTTGCAAATTAGAATTTTATTTCGAATATTGAGTTCGGTTCCCTGGAGTTTTGATTACAAGTTTGATTTCTATTTAGTGGCTTAAGTTCCATTCATTATTAGTTCAATTGCAAGTTCAATTCTATTAAGTCATGTTCCCTGTGATTGTTCAAGTTCTGTGCTTCATCATTCTAAATTTCGGCAGCCTATCAACGTCTCCCCCTTTTAGGAGAAATTACAGAAGTTGTGGGCCTTCCCTACCATGCTACGAGAGCACGTAGGATAGATGTTGGGTGACATCGTGGTCGTAGTCTTCAACCCCACCATGCTACGAGAGTGCGTAGCAGCCTTTGAGATACCTGTTTGAAATGCTTGCAATTTTTCCCTGCAGGCACTGTAAGCTCATGCACTGGTACTTGAAATTGTCCTCGCCTTGCTATGGGAGCGCCTAAAGGCCTACCCGCCTCGCCGTAAGTGTCGCATTGGGTTCCCTCCCACCATGCTACGAGAGCATGCATGGTGGTCCCCCAGCACGCCACGAGTACTAAAAGTGGGATTTGAGGACCATTTATACCTTCACCAAGGATGCTGATGGCGGTGTCGGTGTCAACGTCAAGAGAATCGAGGCAATGAAGACAAATTTTTCTTTCTTCGTTTCCTTTTCCTCTTTTTTTTTTAAACTTCTTCCATTTTTTAAAATAGCAATAATAATAAAAGTACTAATATTAATAACTAATAATATTACTTAATATTATAGGGTTGTGGATCGGCTTGCTGCAAGAGGAATGGAGCAATTCCTGGGCCTGGTTGCGTGAGATGGGAGGGCAGAACGAGTATAAGGGCCTAATCGGAAGCCGGAGGTTTCGAATGGAGCAGGGAAAGAGAAGCTAAGGTTCTGCTTACAGGAGGTCGAACGAGTAGGTGGAAGTGGGTATGGAGGTCGAAGCAAGGGGTCTAGATGTCAGGAGGGGACTTGGGAGTTCGATCGCCTAGAGCTATACGTGATGAGTCGGCAATCAGGCAGAGAGATCGAGTTAGGGAGATGTGGTTGAGGCCGATTGGAGTTGTAAAGTTCGGCTATGGGTCAATTGGGATCGACGGGGCTATAGTAATCAGGATGCCTGTGATTCAATAGGTGGAGATCTCGGTTGTGTGGCTTGGATCGAGTTGTGAGGTGGCTTTGAAGTTTGAGGAAGCGTCAAGAGTGTAAACGGAAGAGGGTTGGGGGCTCCCGTGTGTTCGAGCGCAAAAGTAAAGAAGCAGAAGGCTTCGTTTATCATGATTTTAACAACAACAACAACATGTAAGATCAAGGTGAGCAGGAGATCGTGTATGCCTGAGGGAATAGCTACGGCGCCGTTTGTTTGAGATGGCCAATGTAGCAGACTGCGGAAATCAGCAGGATTTGGGAGGTTTTTTTTCTGATGTGGAGGTCAACATAGATGCCCTCATTTTTGCGCAAAAAGAGAAAGGCATCACTCACCTTGAGCATTCTCCTTCCCAATATCTTATTTTCTCTTATATGTCCTCACCATAGGGCAAACAATAGAAACAATGCACTCATCTTTAACTTAAGTCTCTGACTGAACCTCTACTTCTTTATAGGCCTCAATACACAAGCAAATCATGTTTCAAAAAAAGAAAAAATACACAAGAAAATCGATTAGAATACAATGTTAGTGCAAACAAGTTGGGAGCTTCGTTTGGCGTCGTCCTCTTAAAGAGGGTATGCACGGCATGGACACATGTCCGACACGGCATGGACACATGTCCGCTTAAAGTGGGTATACAGTGTCAGGCATGCGTCGGACACGGACACACGTGTCCGGTTATTAAGTGATAAAATCGTCCGTTCTATTTAACATTTTCCATGAACGAGAAGCCCTATTTTTCCGATCCACGAAAGAAATCTTCTAGGGCGGACCAGGAGAGCTCGCAGACGACGCCAAACAGAGCCCGCTGCCTTCGCCTCCCGTTCCTTCGTCATTTCTGCTTGGTCGAGGCCAAGCAAAGCTCGTCTTTCCCATTCCTTCATTCTTGTGTGATTTCTACGATCATCCAAGACAAAGTTCGCAATCAAGGCCAAACAGAGCACCTTCTGCACGCAAGAGAGCCAAGACCTGTAAGTGGATTTCGCCATTTCTTCTCTTCATTATTGAAAAACCTAATGTACATGCTCGGTACCGCTAGGTATCGCTAGGTACATGCTCGGTAGAGCTCAGTACATGCTCGGTACCGCTCAGTACATGCTCAGTACCGCTCAGTACATGCTCGATACCGCTCAGTATATTCTCGGTACCGCTAGGTACATGCTCGGTACCACTTAGTATCATCTTCCCATACAAATAACTTATGAACTTTAAAAACAAGCAGGTCGAATTCCGCCAGGGGGAAGCGCCCCCTTGGACCCCCGGCAGACCGGTATATTGTTGTATTCATGTTGTCTTATTATTGGGATATTTTGATTTCAGTTCATATCAATTTAATTTAATGTATTCATATGTATGATTGGTTTGTTAGCAAAATGAGCTCTACTGCTGGCGAAAGTGGATTAGGTGAAGGTTCAAAAGAGCCATCTGTAGAAACTAATAAGCCGTTATGGATTCATGTTACAAAGTTAGAAAAAATATTTGAAGGAGGGAATGTGTCATTCAAATGCAATTATTGTGGTGGCACCTACAAAGGATATTATTCTACGGTGAAGGCATATGTACTTAAAATTTCTGGCCATGGAATAAAAATGTGTCCTAAGATTACTACGTCGCAATTGATTGAATTGAATAGACAAGTTGATGAAGCTGGATCTAGGATCCAAAGGACACTCCCTAAAGAGATACCTTTGCCATCTACTCATGGCTCATCCCACACTTCTTCCTCATCTGTGAGAGTTGATCAAGCTTTATCATTTAGAAGTGAAGGATATGAAACAAAGAAAAGAAAAGGAGTAGCCAATAATCCTCTAGAGAAGGCTTTTAATTTGTAGCAGCGAGAGGAATTGGATGGTGAAATAGCAAGGATGTTTTTTTCAGCGGGACTTTCTTTCAACCTTGCAAGGAATCCTCATTATAAAAATGCATTCATTTTTGCATGTAACAACAACCTCACAGGATATGTTCCACCTATCTACAATGCATTAAGATCGAAATTATTGGAAAGAGAAAGAGCACATATTGAGACATTGCTTGAACCAACAAAAAGAGTGTGGAAAGAAAAAGGTGTTAGTTTGGTGTGTGATGGTTGGACACATTCTCATAGAAGACCCCTTATTAATTTCATGGCCGTTACAGAGAATAACCCAATGTTCATTAAAGTAGTGAATTGTGAAGGAGAATACAAGGATAAACATTTTATTGTCAATTTGATTAAAGAGGTGATAATCATGATTGGGCCTTCAAATGTTGTGCAGGTTATTACAGATAATGCAACGGTGTGTAGAGCTACAGGATTATTGGTGAAGCAAACTTATCCCCATATATTTTGGACATCCTGTGCTGTGCACACTTTAAATCTTGCTCTAAAAAATATTTATGCAACAAAAAAATAGAGGCTAATGAAACCATCTATGCTGAATGTCATTGGATAACAGTGGTTGTAGATGATACTGTTCTGATCAAAAATTTTATTATGAACCATTCGATGAGACTTTCAATGTTTAATGATTTCTCCCACTTGAAAATGTTAGCGATTGCTGAAACTAGTTTTGCCTCTGTAATAATCATGTTGAGAATATTCAAACAAATTAAAAATGCTCTTCAATCTATGGTGATTAGTGAGAAGTGATCTTGCTATCGAGAAGATGATGTTGGGAAGGCAAGATATGTTAAAGAAACGGTCTTAGATGATTAATGGTGGGATAAAGTATATTACATTTTGGCTTTCACTGATCTAATTTATGATATGTTGAGAGAGGATGACACAAATAAATCATGCCTACATTTGATTTATAAGATGTGGAATTCTATGTTAGCAAAAATGAAAGAAATTACATACAGACATGAAAGAAAATCACATGATAAAGACTCAAGTTTTTTTATCATTGTCTATACCCTAAACCCCACGTAGTGGGATAAAGGCTTGATGTTGTTGTTGTTGTTGTTGTCTATACCATTCTTGAAGATAGGTGGAGCAAAAACAACAAACCTTTGAATTGTTTGGCTCATTCATTAAATCCAAAATATATTTATATTCATCTTTTAAATTAATTTAAATTTGTTGGTAAATGATAGATAATTTTATATGCTTTGTATTATTTGAAGATATTCAAATAAAGAATGGCTTCAAGAAGACCCTCAACATGTCTCACCACAAAAAGATTTAGAAGTTTCAAATATAAAAAAGATATGCCTGAAAAGATATTTCCCAAATGAGGAGAAGAGAAGAAAAATTAAAAACTTGCAAAGTTCTTTGGATATTTAGAGGATTTTGGTGATCAAGAATCTTTGGTTGATAGATGGAGGATGGATCCAAAAATGTAGTGATTGATTCATGGAGCTTCAGCACCGCTTCTTCAAATAATAGCAATAAAACTTCTTGGTAAAGTATCATCTTCTTTCTGTTGTGAGAGAAATTGGAGCACATACTCATTTATTCAATCAATGAAGATGAATAAAATAACTCCACAACGTGCTGAAGATTTAATTTATGTGCATATAAATCTTCATCTTCTATCAAGGAAAATCCCACTTTATATGACAGATGATAACAAGATGTGGGATGTTGCTGGAGATGAGTTCGAGTGCCTTGATGATATGGGATTATTGGAGGTTGCAAATCTTTCTCTAGATGAACCAGAGTTGGAAACAATGATATTCAATGATGATGATATTGAAGGCCAAAGACCAATATTTGAATCTAATTCTATCATTCCCTCTATTGAGTAGTTGGACCTTCATGTTGTAATAAATGATTTTTTGCTTATATTTTTGTGGTTGTACTAGACATTTTGTACTAAACATCTTTATGTTATAAGTTAAACAAGTTATCATGAAATTGATTTATTATTTCTTGTTATTTTTACTATAATGTCATCTTAATTTCTATATATTATATTAAAAAATTATTATGTCATGTCCACGCCACACCCGTGTTCTATATTTTTAAAAATTGTCGTGTCAGTGTCGTGTCGTGTCCGTGTCGGTGCATCATAGCTAATGACTGATATCATATGACATGCAGTTCATTCAACCATTGTGCAGAACAATTCATGTTATAACTTGAACTCTTGTAAACAAAAATCAATATAATATATTTTGCAACAGTATTAACTATTTCAGAATGAGAAGAGGAAAGATACTTTTGAATGCAGGAAAGAATAAGGAAGAATTCTAATAAGTAAAGTAATGGGACATCTTCATAGTTCATGCAATATCCATGAAACAACAAAAAATGCAGTGTAAGTTTATTATTATTATGACGGAAGCTGTAAAAAAAAATTGATACAAAACGATGAGATTACCAGTAACGTGCACCCATAGTGATCCTTCGAATAATGAAGATGCTGAACTTTTTTTTATGTTCTCAATTGAAAAAGAAGCCAACTCAGGAATATGTTCAACACCTACTGCACAACCTTGAGATCCAACCATGATTGCAAAGCAAGCTGTTAAGTACCCAGTTCCTGTACATGAAATAAGAAAAAAAAAAACTTCTTTTTTAAGGCTAATTGAATAATCTAACAATTACAATTAAACATTGCAATATTTATAAAATTTCATGTGAAAGAACAAACATTTCAAAAATAATAGAGAATTCATTTGGTAATGTGTTGCTAATGAGTTGCTTTTCAAAAAGCAGTTGATTTTCTGTAAGGAATGCCTGAACCAGTATTGCACTCCACAGCTCCACGATCATGGAGAACACAGTAGGGGAGCAGCTTCTCCGTGTAAGTAAGAGTACAGATAATTTCTCTTTATATAGCACAGAGATACAAAGCTATTAGGTCCAAAAAGCAAGAAAAAGGCATGAACATTCAAGCTATGGATTTATATGTATGTGAGAGTTGCTGGAGAGGAAAAATGTATGTTATGTTATTATTGATTGAATACTAGTACGTATATATAAGCAAACAGGAGGAATATTAAAAAGAAGATAATAACTTGAAGAACATTCTCAATTATATGAATATAACACAGTAATAAAAATATTTTTTTTCTAATCTAACACTTTCCTACAATACCACTTTCCAATCTAGAGCTTTCTAAATAATTTCCAATATAATAATCGCCCCTAAAACTTAGGCCTATATATGAATAAGTTCTAAATTATCACAAAAATTAGAAAAACCAACAGTTTTTAGAGATTTAGTAAAGATATCAACTAATTGTTCTTCACTGGAGACATGAGAAATTATAATTTTTTTTATTGAATTGCATCTCTTATGAAGTGACAATCTATTTCAATAGGTTTGATTCCTTCATGGAAGATACAATTGCTTGAAATATAGATACTTGTACAATTATCACAACAAAGGATAAATAGGTTGGGTATAGGAAAGCCAAATTCTTCTACTATGATTTTAATCCACATTATTTTACAAGTAAAATGTGTTATGACCATATATTCAACTTCAACATTGGATCTAGCTACAATAGTCAACTTCTTACTTTTTTAGAATTTGAGATCTCCTCCTACAAAGACACAAAATCCCAAAGTAGCCTTTGGATCTTCAATGAAACTAATATAGTTGATATCAAAAGCTTAAATGATTATCTTTCTGATAACTAGACTTTCTTCAAGATTTCTTTATATATCATAAAATTCTTTGGACAACATCCTATTATTTTTTCTTTGGGTTTTATATTTACAGATTATACACAATTATAAGTGATATATAAAGTTGAGTGATAGATAGATAAACTTGTCAACCAAACGTTGATCAAGAAGCATCTTGAAAGCTTTCATCACCATCGAATGATAGCAAAGTTTCCATAGGAGAGTAAATTGGCATAAACCCAAAAAGATTGCTTTATCAGGAATGCTTTTAGATTATTTCCTTTGGGAATGACAAACACATTCCTTGCTATATGCAAATTTGATACCAAAACATTATTTGGAATGTCTTAGTGATAGATATTTTTTAAGATAAATATTTTACCTTACTAATGCCAAAAAAATCACAATATGTCATTAGCATGCATAGTAAAAAACACTATAACAAAGGAAGAGGGTAGAATAAATATAAAGTGATTAATAGCAACTACTTTTTAGTCCAATACTAGCAAAAACCTTGCAAATTTGTCAAACTCCGAATCATTTTGATAGCTTGAGGGAAGCCATCTAAAAATGTTGACCAGAAAAAAGTGGGGTACATGATCATGGAAAATTTTTCCAAATTTAGCAAATGAAATTAGAGAGACTTCAAGGAAAATGATGTGTGAAAAAGCAATAGAACCTGATGATATTCCAATAGATGTGTGAAAATGCGTAGGAGATCAAGGAATTACTTGGCTTATTAAACCTTTTAATATTATTTTTAAGATTAAAAAATGAAAGATGAGTAGAGGAGTGTGTTGGTTCCTGTTTTTAAGAATAAAGGAGATGCACAAGAGTATGTGAGTTATAGAAAAATTAAGTTGATTTGTCATACATTAAAATTATAGGAGACATAGATTATGTCATGATACTAATGTTTCTCAAAATCAGTTTGGATTCATGTAGGTTAGGTCAAATATGGAAGCTATAAATTTGTTGAGAGGTTTGATGGAGATGTATAGAGAGTAAGGAGAATCTACATATGGTATTTATTGATTTAGAGAAAGTATATGATAAAGTTCCAAGAGATGCTCAGGAAATTTCTAGAAAAAAAGGAGTTAATAATGCTTATATTCAAGTCATTAAGGATATGTATTCAGAAGCTCCTACTTGTGTTCAAACACAAGGCGGTTCGACTAAGTATTTTCCTATTTCAGTTGGATTGCATTAGATCAGGAGTTGATCGAGCAACTACATCAAGCCAAGCAACTTTCCAAGCGCAGCTACAATAGACTAAGTAATTTTCCAGGCTTGATTTGATGCCCATCTAGCAGCATTTGGGATAGAAAAGAGGATGCCTGGATTCCTTGAAAATGATACAGGGATTGCATGAAGGACAAATATGCCATTTGGACTTTGCAATGCACCAACTTTCATGTCTGATGGATGAGGTCTTGCACACTTTCCTAAGTAAAATCACATTTGTTTATCTAGATGACCTTTTAAAATAAGTAAAAACCTAAGAAAATCATTTGCAGCATCTTGAATATATTTTGAGGCTTTTGGTAGATGTCAAGCTTATACTTAATCTCTAGAAGAGTTTGTATCCTCAAATCTGTCTATCTTAACTTCATCAAGCCATGCACAAGTTCAAAATTAAGGAGCTGCAAATGTGGTTTTCAGTGAGTGAGGAAGTTCATCCATTACTTCTCAATGTTGGTCGCACCTTTGCATGCCCTTAGAAATTCTAGTCGCCACATTTAGTGGAGTGAAAAGGAAAAAAATTACCTTCTTTCTGATGAAGAAGATCACTAAGGTGCTAATACTTGGTCTTCCCTACCTGCAATGACCATTTGAGCTGGACATGGATGCATCAACAATGCAATTAGTGTCATCCTCATTGAGGATGGGTGACCACTCAGAGATGTTGTAGGTTGCCTACATAAACTATTTCACCTATAACAACAACATGTTTACCTTGCATTAGATAATGAAGCATTGGAGGCACTACTTGTTGAGAAATAAGACCATTCTATTCAGCAACCAATATATTACTTGTAAATTCAATCCAAGCTGCATTAAGCCAGGCAGATAAAGTGGATGTCCTACACACAACAGTTCAATATAATGATTAAGTACGAGAAGGAAGCACACAATAGGATGGATGATATGTTGTCCCTACCAATCACTAGTCTACCACAATCTTGTTTGTAACTATGCAGGTGTTATGAATGCACCAAGAAGAGTACAGTACATATATGCAACAAATCCAAACTTTTGAGTGGTGTGAGAAGCCCATTGGAAAGCAAAATGAAGGAGTCCCATAGCCACTAGATGTAAATGTTGGGCCATCAATTTTAGCAATTAATAGTGCTAAATAGCAAGCATGCAATTATGCGGAAGATTTACCATACCTTGGAGACTAACCGTGCATGACTAGAGGCATAGATTATGTAACTTCGATACAAGAGGAACATATTTTCAAAGTAGGAGGAATTTTGGTGTGGAGAATACTCTCCAAAATCTAAAGCGCTACATCTTTCAGTCAAAAATTCACCTAGACGGGCAAAGCCTTCAAACCAAAAGAAATCTTTATAGACGACATTGTCAATACTTATTCGACCATGAGAGATTATTTCAATGGACTTCTAGGGAGGACCACAAAAGACACGAGGATTTAAATATGTATAAGTCACAGTTAACCATTTTAGCCTTTCATCCACAAATAGATGTACAAATAGAGGAGATGAATCGAACAATGGTATGTACATTAAGAAGACACAGTTTGAAGCATCTGAAGAATTAGTGTGAAGGTCTTCCAAACAAGTAATCTGCCTTTAATCAGGTAGGCCATGGTCCAACATCAAAGTCGCATTTTAAGGAGTTCTTAGGGTACCTATAATAGAGCTCTTTTGATCTAGAGTTTTCAATTGGCACCAAGTAGAATGATAAAGATGAAGGGTGCTTCAATGAGCACAATGATTCATGGATGGAATTCCAACGATCCAATAGGAGGTAGAAGAAAATTTGAAGAAATCATAAGAAAAGAAAGTGCCTCGCCATGAAAAACATAGGATCAAATGCACTTTCCAAGAAATTTATATGCTCTGGTTGCACTTGGGGAAGGACAAATTATGAGGTGAAAGATCAAGATCATTCATTAAGGTACATTTGATAACTTGCAGAAGGCATTATGTTTAGACACACCTTTTAACGATTTAATATATTTTTAATGCAAAGAATTTGAAGTTATTTGAATTAACACTGCTAGATGACAAAGAATAATATATAAGGCAGTTCCTAAAATCATGAATCTCAATATCAACCTTGATGACCCATTGCAAAAGGATGGCATTGTGGATGTGAAGACCACTTCAGCATCAGGTGAGTTGAGGGAGACCATCACGATTGCCAAAAAAAGGCAAACTCTAACGCAAGTAAAAGTAAGTAGCTGACAATTCCCTTATTTAATATTACTTGTATCATAAAAAAATTGTGTTTGATCAATGAAAATTCAAATTTTAGACTTCCCTCATCCCCTATTTATACCAGCCCATCTCTCTCTTTTCTCATTCAATGGCTCCAAGGCCAAAATGCATAAGGTTTTCCCTATTTACTCTTGGTTTTAGCAAGGGCCAAAGGCCTAAGCAACCACGGGTAACTAAAATTTACTTTGGAGGGTCCTGATTATCCAAAATCTATCTCAAAATAGTAAATTCTTATAAGGAAAACATGATGCCATTTATATGAAAGGAGTTACATTAGCAAGAAAAGAAGTGGAGGACAAGAATCGCTTACAGACTTGTCAGCGATTCTTATCTACTCTTATGTATAAGGCTTTTGGATCACTTCATCAACGTTTGGTTATTTAACTCCATGAATTTTGGATCACTATTCTCCAAGACCTTATATTAAATATAAGCTATAGTGCTACTCACATCATCACTTAAATATAATTATTGATCAAACTATCCCATACTTCTCAATGACAAATGGCACATCATTGCACAAAGTTTCCCGTGGAGCCATGGTGCATAGCACACTACGCGGCGCACGCCATTTTAAACATAGCGCAATATGTTAATATTAATGCTATCAAGTTGAAATAGGGGTGTAACCAAGTCAAGCCGACTCGCGAGCCGGCTCGGACTCGACTCATTAACATGCTCGACGAGTCGAGCTTATCGAGCTCGAACACAATTTCGAGCTCGACAGCTTATCGAGCTCGAACAGACCTCCGCTCGACTCGTGAGCTCGTCGAGCAGCTGACAAAGATGAGCCTTTGTTGCTAGCATGTAAACAAAATATCGGGCCCGGGCGGGTGGGAAAACGAAATCTCGAGCTCGCGTGTTGCTCCAAGACGAAGCTCGCAATGACAGTGGACGACAACGGAGCTCGGGACGACGATAGAGCTGGCATGCTGCTATCCTACTTGGGACGGAGCTCAATGAGCCGTTCGACGTGAGAAAAGTCAAGGTCGAGCTCGAGCTCAGTAATTTGCAGTCGAGCTCGACACGAACCCCCCTAGCTCGAACTCGACTCGACTCGTTTGCACCCCTAAGTTGAGATCATTTGAATGGTTTCCTTGGGTGCACGGATTTTGTTTAGGTTAAATGGTTGTTTAGATGCAGGGTTTAGCCTAAATCCTTCCAAATGGAAAAAAATGTAACTTTATATCCTACATAAACTTAACAAATTCCTTCTCCATTTTACCTTAAATTCTTGATTTAATAAATCATGTACATAGGTGAATTTGCGGGATTTAGCTGAATAAGTGCACGAAAGATGAGAAATATCATTATATTTGCAGCGAACTCCTATCGTGATTGTTGGTCCAATAGGAACATCATCGTCTTCGAAGGAGGCATAAAAGCTTCCTTGAGCAATTCTTTCAAAACCTTCACACAAAGCTGAAGCAATAATGAAGAAATAGCGACAAGGAAAAGCAAACCCTAAAAATGAAGAAATAGCGACAAGGAAAAGCAAACCCTAAATGATCCTACGGCTCTAAGACAAGCAAATAGAAAGACCAGGATCATTATGGCTTTTCAATTCTATGTTTCAACACTACTAGTAATTAATTAATCGCATTAATGGGCTTTCTGATGGATCATTATGTGCTTTTCTTGCATCTATTTTCATAACTCCATAACAAATTGCATTGCATATCTAAGTTTGCTGACTATAACTATGCAAAGAGTTTCACATGCTTGAACTTCCAATCATTTCATGAGGCAAGCGACTGGTTTTATTTTGGATCTTTCAAATACTTAAGTTTCATGAACTAAGCAGATGGCTTAATTAGATCTTACACAGGCTTGAGTTTAAAATTATTTCCCTGCATGTTTTTATAATTTCATCTCTAGTTGCTTGAGCTTCCAATGCCGAATGCTATATCATTGTTTCACGGATTTGGGTTTTCTCTATTTTTCAATGTTTAAACACTAGTATTAATTAATTATTTGTGTTAGATTGTGTGTATCTTGGTCAATCCTTACATCTCTATATTGCATCTGCTTTGCTATAGATAATGTTGCATCAAAATCATAACTCCATAACAAACTGCATTCTATATCCACTTTAATTCTTCATTCCATATTTGACTACGAACACCTGGACTTTGATACATTTCCTACATAAAATAAGCATAAGGTATCATTGATTTTACAGGGTACTGATCCAACATGACAATTTTGTAACAACATATATCTTAAATCTCCCATGTCTAGGATAAGTGATGGTAAATGGAAATTTCTCAAAGGATAAAATTCAGGCTACAATACAAATATCAAAATCTATTTCAAAATGAATTGGAAAATAACTTTAGAGATATGAATGCGAATATCAAAATATATTTATAGACCATAATCCTCAACCAGGCCATCATTGTTCTTGCTTTAACAAAATAGTATTTTACCATTGTCCATCAATTTTTTAGGAGAAAATAAAATAATTTGAAAAAATATGTTATCAAAGCTTTAAACTTCAAGCTTCAAATTCGTGAAGACGAGTTAATTATTTAAAAGAAATAAATACTTAATAGAAAGACTCAAAAGCAAGTTTTCCACAAATGAAAAAGATACATGCATATAAACTCAATGTCAAAAGGAGACGTGAAACAATTAGAACAAAGTCCAACCCAAATTTAATAGAGAAAACAAAAAAAGACATCTAGTTCCAAGAAAATAACTTAATGAATTGTAGAGAACCACATCTATTAAATTGGATAAACTAATTTCATAAGGACACATGGTAGTTTTTTTTAATATGTTATTTATGAAATATCAAAATATGCAAGTAAAATACTGCATATCCTTATGATGACCACAAAGATGCATTAATCTCCAGCACTCTACATGCATGAAAAAAATACATAGAGAACAACAATCAAAGGAGGGTTCCATCAGATCAGTACCAGAACCAACATCTAAGGCTCGCATGCCAGGCTGCAAATGCTCCTTCAACAGCTCTAGACAAGTTGCATGCATGTGAGGAGCAGATATAGTTGCATTGTAACCAATTTGCATAGGGCTATCAACATAAGCTGGAGTATCACTTTGTACAAATAGTCCTCTATCAATTTTTTCCATCACTTCTGACACTTTCTTTGACTTGATTATACCATAGCGCTGCAAACTCTCTACCATTCTTTTGTTCTTGTCAACCGATCCACTGGTCCAGAAATTCTAACAGTAATCAGAGAAACGCATCATGTTAGCAATTCTTTAATAACATCCTAAAGTAAGAAAAAATAAATAGGATAATTGATTTTCTGTTCACCAGACTTTTTTCATGATTACTATAAATTGCATCCGGCCGAAAGGTACTTAAAAAAATTTTATAACGGGATCTCTTCTCGCATGCAAACTTCACCTATCATCTCACTAAAACTAAAATCTGAAACATCTTGATAATTAACTAGGTTTATTGCAAATCTTACTAGAAGTGCCAAAAGAAGTGATAATTTGAAGGGCAAATTACATACATAACATCCAAATCTAACTATACACAAAACTAACACCCTCATATCTACAATTTTCAAATTTTTATGCAAATATCAAAATTCATCACTTTTGTCAAACTCCTAATAGCTTGACTATAGTATGTGCAAATGCATGGGCTTGATAGTTCAAAAAAAATGACCTAAATGTTAGTTTTGTAAATAGGCAATATTTGACATAAGTGTTAATTTTGTAAATAGTTAATATTTCAAAGTTATGTATGTAACTCCTCTAAATTTGAATTTAAGATTGCCACATCAAAAGAGAGCTAAAATAAAAATAACGCCAACCATCCTTGTACAAGCATAGGGCTGCAAACGAACCGAATCGAGCCGAGCTTTGGCGGCATGTTCGAGTTCGGGCTTGTTTGTCAGAATCGAGCTCAAGCTCGGCTCGAAGCTCGTCGAGCATCTTGGACACCTGTTCGAGCTCAAGCTCATTTAAAAAATGCACGTCTGAACTCGGTTCGAGTTCTTATTCGAGCTCGTTTGTCAAGCTGCTTGTCAAGCAGCTCGTTAAATCAATCAAACAACTCGCTTTACATCCGAAATTAGTAGACTAAATAGTATTTATTTTTAAAACTCTAATCGAGCTTCTTAGTTGAGCTCTAATCAAGCTTCTAAGCGAGCTTGTTCACGGCTTCTAAGCGAGACTGTTCGTGAACATAAATGAACCGCACAACGCGCTGTTCAAGCTTGTTCATTTAGCTATTGAGTATTTATCAAGTGTATTCAAACTCGTTTGTTTACCTTATCAAACAAACATGAACGAGCCCTTATCGAGCCGAGCCATGAGCAGCTCGTCAAACGCTTGGTTCGTTTGCAGCCCTATACAAGCAGTACTAATAATTAGTGGGTCTTATACATCAAAAATAAGACCGACTACAAAGTAGGTAGGCAATCTTCAGCTAAACAAACAAACAATCATCATATATCGGCACAAAACCCAAGAACATCGTACAAATCTATTCAATCGGAGAAGATCATTATCATCATTAGCCATCCTAACTATTTGGACTCAGATTTATTAATCCTCATTTTCCATCGTTCCTGCAAGTGTTGCCTGAGTTATCAAAAGGGAACAACGCTTCTTTAATCCAACCAAACACTTCATTGTAAATTTAAAAAATCACAGCCCATGCCGATTTTGCAACAATTTTCGAACATGTTTTCGGATTCAATACAACATATAGAATCTTAAATAAAATCATTTGATCACCAAAGAACAAAATCAGTATGCAGAACATAAATCTTCTCCTCCACTTCCGTCCAAAAAATTCCTTACAACCCATTTCTTCCAACCAGAAGCGGATGACATCGAGACGATGCACGCCTATACAAAAGGGAAAAAAATCCAACAACAATACAACAAAGTCTCCTACCAATCTTCCACACTCCTAGCAGACAAGTAAACCTCCGGTTCGCAACCAGCAGAATGGATCATAAGCGAGATGATCAAAGAACGTACGAAGTAAACTGAACCCTAAAACATAATCACAGTACCTAAAACGGCGCGGGAATGACGAGAAACTTAACAAGCGGAGTACCTCCATTGTGGTGAGGGGACGGACGTCGGAGAGGAGGCTGAGGAGCTTGACGGATGAGGGGGCACAGTGGTAGCTGGAGGAAGAATAGAACAACTTAGCTACGGTGAAGGCCTTCTTTCGCACTGGATTCCACAGCGGAATGCGGAAGCGTGAGCCCAACGCAACGCAATGCATCACTCTTTTCTCGCGCTGGTTCTGACTGTAAATAGTAAAGATTGTCATTTTCAAAGAAAAAGAAGCGAAACTTTTTTTTTTTTTTTTTTTGAGGGCAGCAGCCGTATATTTCAATGAAAAAGTTATAAATAAAGGTATAATAAAAAGATTAGACATCATACAAAAAAGAAGAGGTCTAACCAAAAATTTATACCTCCTAAAAGAAAACTAAAACAAAGATTTTACAATGATAATAGTCTACTGGCAAAATTTAGCATGAGCATCAAAAATGGACTCATACTGCTAATCAAAACAAACCAACATAATTCCAGCGTGGCCAAGGAGATATCTCCTGGTTGCCCGTGAGGCCCTCCAAGGAGATGATTAACATCTACATCATTGTCCTGCATCGAAAAAACCTGCCATTTAAGTCCAAGGTTGCCAAAAAGGCCATCCAGGGACGAATAGAACTTAAGCAGCCAACAGTTCAACAATAAATCAAACTCGATGGCATGAAGTTGGTTTTTTGTAATACAAACAGAAGTACCATTCTTGGCCCCAATTAAACCCGAGCAACACAAAATGGCAGCAAAAAGAAACCATACGCTCTTTGAGCATCACAATCCATCCAAAATAAAGAAGATCCAACTAGCAGTATCTAAACAACCAAAAATCCCCCAGCCAAAATGAACCACCATTAAGAGGACCAAGGAATTCTGAGATTTTCATCATGTTTCCAATTGGACACTTTCTCCTCCACCGCGACTTTGATTAAAGCACAAACAGTAGAAACACTTCTAAATTTAAAATTAAATCTTCTTTCATTTCTTTCCCTTCAAATATAATAAGTAGCGCAACATACTATAAGGAGAATAGATTCTTTTTGGTTCTTTAATAAGTAGCTCCTTTCTCCCAAAAATTGGAGAACTTGAATAAGTCTAGGTCTCAAAAGAAAATCTCCCAAAATCGGAATCAGTTTTTTTAAAACAGAGAAAGCATAATCATATATACTCAAACAGAATGTGAAATTGATTTCAACATTTAAAAAGCATAAAGAGCAATTAGCCTGAACCAAAATGTTCCTTTTAATTAGCTTCTCAGCTGTTTTGAGCCCACTTTTCATTGCAATCCAAGTGTAAACCGAATATTTTAAAGCATGATGCTTATGCCAGACAAAATTGGTCCAATCAGGAACTGCCTCCTCCTGGAAATAAAATTTGATATAAGATGAGAAACAATGCTTCTTCTTATCTTTCCAAGCTAAAGTAAAATTAGAATCAAAATTAATTGGAAGATGCCCCAATAAAGGAAATAATACATCCTTAACATAGCTCGGAAAAATCCAATCTCCCTCTACCATAAAATCAGAGAGCTTGGCATTATGATGAATATAACATTCCATATTACAGTTTGGAAGATGAGACAAAAGAGTCCTACCCCCAATCCATGGGTCCCACAGCATAGCAATTTTGCTATTATAAGTGATGTCAAAATGAATTGAATGAGAGATTTGTAAGGCCACCTTCCGAAATTCATTCCAGATAGAGGAGGTTTTATGCTTCTCTAAGGTCCAAGGAGTATCGTATTTAATATTAAGATACTTAAAGAGGATAGACTTAGAATTATAGAATATGAAAACCAAATAGCAATATTTTGCAAATTGAAGGGCCTGAAGATTCGGAATGCCCAACCCCCCAAACATTTTAGGTTTACATATCATCTTCCAAGCAATAAGATGCAATTTCTTAACCTCTATGCCTCCAAAATAAAGAAATCTTAAACACATCTTGTTTAAACACTTAATACAAGACTTAGGTATGATAGCTCCCCAAATCCAGTAGGCTATAGTGTTCCAGATCATATATTTTAAGAATTGGAGGCGACCCGCTAGAGAAAGCAGCCTAGCATTCCACCTAGCCAAATTTTCTGAAATGGTATGCATAAGAGGTTGAAAATCAGCAATATTGTGTTTCTTGGCATAGATGGGGATACCAAGATATGTCATCTTAGCACAAATAGCATGCATATTAAGTGTCACACCAATATCCATAGGGGGGATATATAGTTTGAGATTATCAGCTTACTTTTTTCATGATTTACCATTAAACCAAAGACTTTCTCAAAGGAATCTAAAACAGCCATGAGGACCTCGCAGTTGTGCTTCATAGCTTCTCCAAAAATGAGGAGATCCTCAGCATAAAGAAGGTGTGAAATTTGCATATCCTTTGTATGAATCCCATTAAATTTATCCTGAGCAGCAGGGTTATCAATCATACAAGTAAATGCATCCATCACAATACATAAAAGATAAGGGTTAAGTGGACATCCCTGTCTTAGACCTAAAGTGGAGTGAAAGTAACCCTCAAGAGCTCCATCAATACAAATGGAGAAGTGAACATCCGATATACAGGCTTTAACCCAATGAATGAAAAGAGAGGGAAAACCTTTTTGGCAAATTCTTGCCAAAAGAAATTCTCTAGAAACATAGTAAAAAGCCTTTCGAATATCCAACTTAGCACACAACAGTTTTATCTTAGTAGACTTTTTGAATTCCAAAAATAATTCATTAGCAAGAAGGATACTATCCGTGGCAATACGATCTTTAATGAAACTGGCTTGATTTTTCATAATGATAATAGGCATAATATATTTAATTCTCAATGCCAAAATTTTAGATATTATCTTATAAAAGACATTACAAAGAGCAATTGATCTAAAATCCAAAACATTAGATGCATGAGCCAATTTTGGAATAAGAGCAATTGCAGTGGCCTTAGCTTTGTGAGGAATATATCCTTTGGAGAAGAATGATTTCACTGCTTTACAGACCAAAGGAACAGTGATAAGTCAACTAGATTTATAAAACTCGAAATTGAAACCGTCAGGGCCGGGAGTGGAGTTGGAGTTCCCATTAAAAATTGTTGTCTTGATTTCATCATCAAAAACCATCATAGTTAGCTTATCAGATAAATGAGAAGGAATAACCGTACCTTTAGGAATAGAGTAGAGATCACATAAGGAAGTAGGCGGTGGAGCATTAAAAGCTTTTCAAAGTGTTGGGTAATTGAAGAAATCAAGACCTTACTTATAATAGGATCATCATTAGAAACCAAAGGAGAAACGCAGTGATTTCTTCTCTTTCTAATGTTTGCATAGAGAAATTTTAAGTCATCTTCCCCATGAGAAAGCCACTTCAGTTTTGTTGACCTCGATTTTGCCCAGACCTGGGCCTAAAGAGTTGACTTGGTCAAATTGACCAAGCCAGACCCTATGGCCCTCCCCACTGGGTTCAGTGAGTCGAGTCGAGCCTGTTGAGCCCGAGCTTGGACCCTGAGTCAACCCGGTTGACCAAGTCAACCAGGGTTGACCAATTTGACCCATTAGAGCGGTGCTCCTTCGGAGGTCCACAAGTTTAGCCTTTTGTAGGAACCCAATTAGTCCAGGAAAAGGAGTAGTTTGATAATTGGGCATTTATGTTTTTGAGCCTATGATTCAAGGCAGAGTTTTGAGGATTTGAATTCAGAATGTTCAAGCAAAGAGCTTGTTGATCCTTAAGCATGACAATATTGGAAGAGAGGTGACAAGAACCATTCCAATCTTTCTCTTTAATGATTTCTTTAAGTGCTTTAAGCTTGTAATACAACCCAAGGATGGGATTCCCTTGGAATGGCTGAGCAAAAATGTTTAGAAGTTCAGACCAGTAATTTTCTTGCTTTGTCCAAAAGTTCTTGAAAAAAAATCTATGATTCACCCTTGTAAGCTGACCTAAAGAAAGTATGATAGGGGAATCTGAACATGAGGGAGGGAGCACTTCATAGTAGGATTTAGGGAAAGAATCAAGCCACTTATCATTAATCAGCATTCTATCCAACTTCAAATGAATGGGATCATTAGCTCTTTGGTTAAACCAGGTGAACTTTAGGCTAGTAGAAGCCAAGTCCAATAAGCCCATATCAAAAATTAAGGATTTGAAATCCCATAAATGAGAGGAAAGAAGAGGGGATCCTCCAGATTTTTCAGATGCGTGCAAGCAACAGTTGAAATCATCAAGTACAATCCAAGGAGTGTTGATGTTGGCCCCAACCTCTCTAAAGCTATCCCAAAGCTTAATTTATCCACTTGCAAATTAGAAGCCTAAATAATCGACATAACACAAACCAAATCAAATCTCTTATGCAATTATCCGGAAATCAACTCAGTAGAAATATAGGATGGTTTAAATTGAACCAAATTTGGATTCCATTTAATCCAAATTCTACCAAAATTGGATAAATTAAAATTGTGACAGCTTTCTTCATAATAAAAAATCTGGTGATTGAAACGAAACAAAGGATCCGAGAAAATGTTCTCATGTATCCTGTTATCCAAGACACATATTAAATCAAGTTTGTGATGACGAACTAACTCTTTACATGCCCTAACCTTATCCGGGCTATTGGAACCTCTCACATTCCAAGCCGCAATACGATGTAGGATCATTGGGACTTTGAAGTTTGAGCAGGAGCTTTTGTTGCTTATTTGTTCTTGGAAGTTTTTGAATCGATTGGTGTGGGATCATTTCGGCTTGATTCCTGTTGCCGGGATGGAGCGGGAGGGGCATCAACTCATTAATGCTATCCTGTATGATTTCAAATATATTAGGTGAGATAACTTTATCCTTTTGTTTGGATGTATTAAAGAATTTAGAAGCTATGAACTCTTCAGTAGGAGAGTTTAAATTAGGAATTGTAGTTTGCTTCAAATCCAAGGAGATGGTAGGGCTGGAATTACCACCATAGGCAGCTGTAAAATGTGTATGGAGTCGGAAACATCAGATTGGGGTTGAGTTGCAGAACTTTTAATGATCGGCTGTGGAGCTGGAGTAGAGTTAGAAGGAAGGGATTGTTGCGGCTGTTGAGCATTAGAGTTTCTGCTAACAGGGCGAGGGGGGCTTTTGGCTCGTACTACTCCCAAACGAAGGTGGTTGAGAAGTGGAAGGAGGAGAAGGTGGTTTGGAAGGACAGAATTCAGGTGAATGCCCTATGGAACCACAA